ATTGCCGTTATTATTACTACCGTTATTACTAATATTTGTTGGGTCTTTAGCATTGAGGCATTAAATTCCGAACAAAAGTTGAAGAAGACTTTTCACCATGCCTTCTACCGTTTAGACATTGTCTAGAAAAACGTTAAAATCACACGTAGTTAAATAAATGATATCAGCAAATGCATAAGTGAAAAGTTTCACGTTCTTTCAATGGTCAACTCTGAGTTACTCAGGCGTATTAATGCTTGCCAAATTTCCATATTATATTGACACACAGCTAAGCACAGGACGACATTTGTTACTACGTCTGTGAAATTACCGATCTATAATTACTACAGTAAGGGGCAGTTGCCTATCAACGACCCGTTTCAATAAATAAAAATTTGGCGAAGTAGAACGAATTTCAAACGAAACATGAGCAAAGATGCAAATTAGATAATATGGCGTCGTTTGGGTACTTGTAATACATTTTACCTGCCCATGCGTCCAAGAATCTAGACTTTTTTAAGTCGAAGTCATACCTCTGCTGAAGGGATATGCATGAACTCTGATGGTATCCATGTTTGGAGCCTAGACCAACTCAAGGAAGTACCAATATCACGCTAGAGTAATACTTCATTATAAGAAAGTGAAAAACTAAACTTTTGGCCATGGATGGTTAAACTCAACGCCATGCTGTGCCTTCAAGAATGTTCTAGTTTCTGACACTTCCGCTTTATGGCAGTCAGTTATGAATGTTCAACTGTCAGCACTTATCGAACTGACATTTTCAGCTTCTAACCGCAAAATTTAGCATAAGTAGTGCGTGAGTGGAAATGTTAGAAGCCATGACATTTCACTAAGCCGTGAATAACTTTCTGACTTGCAAAAGACAGTAACTTCAGTCAGTAAAAACTGGTTTTAAATTTAGTCATGCATTAAATTTTTTTAGTTTCGTTGAAATGCCAATTTGATCTGACACATTTTGGTTGGATTTTTGTCTTTCCAGAAAGAAAGCGATCACGTTCGAATTATGATAATAATTTTACTGAAAAAATAGAAGAATTTAATAGTAAATTAAAATCGACACATCAGTGAAAAAAGACATATCCGCTATTCAGCTGTTGCTAGTCTAGCTACCAGATTCCGAAGGGCATGCCCAAGCCCATGCCCATTCCGCCCATGAACGGATCGCCCCACATCCCGCCTCCAAAGAAGGGATCAAAGCCACCGAATGGGCCGAAGCCGCCACCGAAAGGGCCAAAGCCAAATTGCCGCCGGTTTCGAAGGAGTACAGACACTAAAAGTCAACTAAAGCATACGATACGGAGCGAAGACGAAAATATGCCCTAGCAACCTAACGTACTTCTCGAAGCTGCCACAAAAGTCTGCAGAAACACAAGTAAAACGACGACGGCCAACGGGCGCAGACTGAAGTGGACCATTTTCGACACTAGTTTTAATGTTTCAAGTTCTGACCGTCCGGCACTGCCTTATATAACGGTTGTGTATGCAAACGTTTACAGTCGGAAAAAGAGGTTTGCTATGTTTTCTAAAATTAATGGACAAAATGGAACTACTTCTTTGTCGAACGAAGATGCTATCACCTTCTTAGCGCGCTTGGGCGAGTGGACGACGACACAAGCTAAGCAGATGCTTCTGTTTTAAACGCGTGTGTTTACCTCACTAAACCTTTGCAGGGGTCGTTGAAATCTGGTTGCGTTGGTAGAAAATCATAAGCAATTTGAATTATGGATTTGATTGTCACTGTGTCCTTTGCAACACCGAAGATTTACAGCTGTTTGTGACATCTGAAACAGGCGTAATTGATGATGTCGGCGAATCGCTCAACCTACTCAAATGCAAACAGTGAGATGTCAAAAAAATCGGTTGACTGTTCGTGCATGAGTACTGGTTTATTCCAAGCAATGCGTTCTGTTAATTTCTTGTCACAAAGTTGCAAAACAACTTATAATTGCATTTGTCATCTGCTAGGTACAGGTAAACGAACTGGATTCCTGATATACCGGTAACCGAATGACAACTCTTCAGCCGGTAGGTCAATATACTATTGCAACTATGCATCAGTTACACTAGTAAATGAGACAACGTATATGATGGGTCATAATTTTATGAAGAGTGGCTACGAAAAAATTCTTTTTCGCTTTTAAGGATTACGCACTAATGCCTCAGTCCCCTGTCAAGTTCGATGGGATTCATCCATTAGACCGAATTCTCTAAGTTTGTTTTTTTGTCAAGATTAATTACCTAGGGTCTTTCTCATAAGGACAATGCATCTGGTTTCTGACGCTCGTTGTATTTGCAGCCTTTGCTACAAGGAATTGGCTATTATATTATACCAGTAAAGGTTCCCTTCCAAGAACAGGTCTGTCTCCGTATTGTATGCTAATTTCCTGGTCGATGCTAACATGTAGTTTCCACACGACAAGCGCGCATTAAAGTCCGTTTAACAACGTCCCTAATCTTCACATCTCCAGGGGTCACCAACACCCAGAAAAAATAAAGTCATTCCAAAAATTGTCCTGCCATGCAACTTTGAATATGCGTAGAAATCAACTCTGCTGCACGCTGTTTAACTGCCGTTCTTGCCCTTCGTTTGAACAACCATCTTCATGCCACCGACCCAAAGGCAAACCGCAAACTGAATCGCACATAAATTTATTGAATGCAAAAGGCAATTTATTAAAAGGAAAATACATATTCCTGTCTCGTCTCACACATTTAAAGATCCAGTAGGAAGCAAGATTATGCATATTTTGGAATAAGTAAAGATATTCCTATCGAGCTGTTCCCGCCTCCAACTGCTGCTTGCTCTGGCGAAGGCTTAATTAAATAATTAGCGCTGCATTTGTTCCAAGGAACCTTGTACAAACGCCTAATAAATCTCCATTAATAAAATAAATTAAAATGACGAATAATTTCAGAGAGAAAGTTATTTGTTACACGACTTATCCTCGCAATGGGTGCGCCATGAACGCAAGTTCCATGTTCCTCCAACATTCATTGCATTGCGCTTTCTACCTCCTCCATCAACCAAGAAACTTGGACATCGCATTCGTTCCAGCGCGTTCTTGGGCGACTCGACGTTGTTTGTCAAGCGGAACTAAATTTGCAATTCTGGACGTTGCACTCCCTCTGAAAGGTTCATCTCCTGTTTGAGTCGTGAAGGCCAGTGATTACATCTGTTAATCCAGTCCGTTGT